GAGATAAAACAATAAAAAGAAAAGAGAGGTTGGATCCCTCCCCTCGTGAATAGTGTCTCTAATCGGGTAAGGTTGACTCTATCTTAAGTAATTTCTAATATGGATGCATGAGGTTTGGCTTACTAATGCATCTAGACTCAATAAGCTTTCAGACTCCTAAGCCTTCAGACCAAAAGGCTAAGGGGTCATCAATCCCAAAACCTTCGATCGGTGGCTTGAGTGATCCCTTAGGCATCGCTATGGGCGCAGAGCACACCATCCGCCTACCTAAGGAAATCGATCCTAATCCTACAAGGAGATGTGGGATGGCGCCCACGAGAAAAAAATAAAAAATAGGATAAAAATAATGCATGCACGTATGATGTGAACCTAAAAATGAGGAAAAAGAAAAAGTAAAAGGAATATGCAACCTAAACATCCAAATATGATAAGTGAAATGGTTAGAAAAAGAAAAGACAACTAAACCAAGTGCTTGGACTCTCTAGCGTCCCCAGTGGAGTTGCCAAGTTGTCGCGCCCCATTTTTCGCGATGGAAAAAAGAAAGAGTTTATAAAAAGATGTGATTTAATAATAATAAATGAAAAAGGACCTAGAATGGGATTTAAAAAGAATGCGACAATTTGGGTCCAAAATTTAGTCTAAAAGGGTTTTTAAGAAAAAATAGGAGTCGCCACTTGGTATGGAGTTTTGGTGTACCAAGTCAGCCAAAAAAATATTTTTTTGACAAAAATAAAATAAATCAAAACCCTTTTTGACAACTCCAGGTTTTTTAAAACAAGAGAAAATAGGTTCAGGAGTCACGGTTGAAGAAAGGGAAGGCAAAGGTTTAATTGACTCAAACCTAAGGCACCCTTTCAACCTAGTCGAAACTAGTTGCGAGGTTTAGTCAAAATTTTTTCTAATCTAACCATTAGTTTTATCATATTTGGATGTTTCCTACATGGATGCAAATCTAAATTTATAAAATATCGAAAGGGTCAAAATATCCATTCAAGGATTTAATCGAACCAATCGCATTAATTGCGAAGGCCACAATGATTCCTTGAATGTGTCACGAATATGCGAATGATGAAATTAAAATAAAAGAAAAGAAATTAAATTATATACATATATAAGTGATCAAAGAAAAAGGGAATGCAACATAAAAGGTACGGGAGGCAAAAACTCGTGACATAATTTTCTTATACATGGATTAGTAGGGTATTTAAACTAAAAAGTTATAATTACCCATTTTCCATGTTTGAAAAAAAATTATCCTAACATGAACAAGCAAATGAACTAGCTTAAATGAGATGCAATTCTAAATGGCATGATTAGCACCTATAGCGGGTAAGGGATAATATAATAGGGAATATCATACAAATGAGAAAAGATCCTAAAAATAAAAACATGCATGGAAACGTAGTGAATAGCACACAAAGATGAATCCAGCGCAAGACAACCTAAATGGTCTAGCGTTGGACTAGCCCATTTCTAAAAATCCTTACTAACGTTGGACTAGCAAGTAAACGGAGGGAGAAACCACAACTAGCGTTGGACTAGTGTGGTGACGTCATGCATTTTTAATATATAATAAGACAAGTAAACATAGATTAAAACAAATAAACACATAAGAGCACGTAGCACGTAACACATAAGCATAATATCTAGATGCAAAAATCCTAAGAAAAGCGGGTAAGGCACGTAACACATAAGCCACATAAGCACACAACCTATCTATTACATCGGGGAGCGCCTAACTACAATCTAAAAGGGGAAATAAAATAAAACAAATCTAATTATCCTATCTATTATATTTTTGAGGTATTTAAGTGCCTCTCAAATAATTATAAAATTAACTAAACAAACATAAGAAAATTTAAATGAACATTCAAATCAAACAAACAAAGCATATAAAAATATATAAACACATAGGAACACGTAGAAGCACATAAGAGCACGTAATTGACATTGAAATAATAATAATGGGGTACCTCCCTTTTGAAGTGGTGACTAAACGGAGTCAAATTGCTCTATTTATACTCAAAATGAACAAAAGAATCATGGCACCAATTTAATTGAAAAACTAATAATAATGAAAATTCACCTCAATATGTCAAACGTAAATAAATTTAAGAATATCTAAAAATTACAAGTTGAACCTACTCAAAAGTAACATAATTAGCTATTAAAGAAAAGAAACAATCATAATAAAGAGAGTCAAAATTCATCAGGGGCTGAATTGCAAAAATTGAAAAACTTTTGGGGACAAAAATTATATTTTTCCAAAGTTTAGAGGTCAAAATTAAATAAAAGATAAAATTAAAGGACCAAAGTGCAATTAATTTAAGGACCTAAGTGAAACAAATTTAAAATGTTCTGGGCCGAAGTGAAACTACTCCAAAGATAAGGGGCTAAAGTGAAAAAATCGGTTTCTGATCTTCTTAAGAAAACAGGCTACTGGCCATCATTTTATTTATTTGGGCCGAACACTACCTAAGCCCAGCCGAAAGTCCAAGCCAAACACACAGGCCAGCCTGCCTTTTTATCCCTTAAGCCCAACTGAAACCCAAAAGAAATAAACCAAAACCTATTTTCAAAATCCAACCAAAAATAACCACAAACCCACAAAACTTAGCCCAAACCATTTTCTTCTTCTTTTTTCTTTCTTTTCTTTCCTTCTTTTCTTCCTTCCCCAATCGTTTCTTCTTCCTTCTTCTTCGGCCAACTGAGGAAGCTTCAGCTGGCGGCCGCCGGTGGCGCCGCCGCCGGCAACCTCTCCGGTCGCCAAAATTTCTCAAAATACACCCCCTCACTCGATTTTTCGCGTAGGTTCCATTTTTGAACTTAGTTTTTACAGAAAATGACCCAAAAGTGGCACCGGCGGCCGCCGCCGGCGACCTCTCCGGTCGCCAAAATTTCTCAAAAATTTCTCAAAATACACCCCCTCACTCGATTTTTCGCGTAGGTTCCATTTTTGAACTTAGTTTTTACAGAAAATGACCCAAAAGTGGCCAAATGCCAAGAAATCAGTTCAGTTTTTATTTTTTTAAAACCCTCAAATCTTCACCAAAAATCATAAAAATTATGCCAAAACCCTCCTTATAACTTCCACAATACAACTATAATCTTAGTTTGACAAGTAAACAACAACAAAAGGATGCATTAAATCAAAACAGCCCCAAAAATGAAGAAAATTATTCTAATGCCTTTAAAGCTCAAAACTCCAAAAAATTTAGATAAGCACACATTTCCAGGCCTGGTGCTAGCTAACGGTCATCCGTTTTGACAACAACATGCACAATATTCAGCCTTTTAATTCGTTGGTCATTTTGGCACTTTTTCAAACGGTTAATATGCATGCATGAGAAACATTTCCTTTTCCTTCGTCTAGTTCATGTCATTTCCCAATTTTCAGCAATGCAACAACAACAATACAAGGCAGCCAGCAGAAATGAAAGAAAACTAAACAATGAAGCATTGATTTAATGTGCTAGACAAAAACTAAAAAAATTACCTCAATGTAGGTGTGTGTGAGGTTGAGATGGAACCGAGAGGAGTTGGGGAAGATTTTTTTTTTTGTTCTGTTTCTTTCCTCCGCCCAAGTCCGAGAGAGGGAGAGTGAGGGGGCAGGCTGCAAAATTCCGAGAGCTTCCCTTCCTCTTCTCTCGTGCGTTTCTTTTTTTTTTTTTCTGCCTCTGCCAAGTGAGCCCAGAGGGATTGGAGTGCTTTTTTTTTTCTTTTTGTGGCTTGTCTTTTGGTCTCCTGAAACTAGAGAGAGCTGAGTGCCTCCCTTCTCTTTTTTTTTTTCTGTGTTTTTTTCTTGTTCTGCGAGGGAGAGGGCCGAGAGTTGTCTGAGAGCTAGAGTGCCTTTTTTTTTTTTTTTTTTTTTTTTTGTCTCTCTGTCTAGAGAGCAGAGAACCGAGAGGGACTTGTAGCCAAAGTGGAGCTTGTGTGTTGGATTTGCCAAAATGATGATTTCTTAGCTAATGAAAAGAAAGGTCCATGGCAATTGAGTGTGGAATGGGTTAATAGTTGTTTTGGTAGGGAAAATGATGAAAGTGATTTTTTATTTCTTGATTTTTCTCTTTTGTTTTGTGTTTTTTTTTTCTTTTTCCAAAAACAAACCTACAAAAATGAGAAAATCATACATTAATATATATTAAAAAAATGATAATAATAATAACTTATCAAATAGATAAAATTTCAGGAAAATATTAAAAATTGATAAAAATTTGGTGTCTACAAATAAAATAGTAATTGTTTCTTAATAAATAATAAATATTAGAGATATATATGTAATTTCACTATGAAAATTATATATAAATAATCGAGTTGACTCACGAGCTAATAAGTTGAGTATCTTTGAACTCGATCTCGACTTGGTCAGCTCCAGCTGTCGAGTGGCCTCACAAGCACACACGAGTAACTTATTCATTTGTAGCCCTAGTCTAGAGACAAGAATTTGATCAATTGTTTTTTATTACCATTTTGGTACACAATTAGGGTATTTATAGATGTAAGAGAAGGTATGCGTCTTGTGGCCAAGGGTAACATGATAATTTACTCTTAAAGGGTAGGCCCTGTATATCATCAACCTACCATATGAATATAATGAAGTTGAAGCAAGCAAGATTCGAATCTTTAGGATTCCTGCTGATTAAAAATTCCAGTTATGTGACCCATAAGTTATTCATTGGTATTTCTAAAAGGATCCCATTAATTATATGGTGAGGCTATAATGTAGTATACAATAAGAGACTGTGATTGAAATCTACATCTTTTAATTTTCTCCAGTGGTATTGGTACACTTGATGTGTTTGCAAAATTAAAAAATTAATTAGCAAAAACAAGATGAAATTTAAAGAAGGAAGGGGAAGTTATTGACATAGTAATTAGTTACCATACCAAACAAATTAAATCACATTATCTGGTAGGTTTCAAAGGCCTAGTTGCATCTGTTAATTGTTTCCTAGATGACAACACCAAAATCAGACTATATGGCAACAGGCAACAATTAGAACAGTAATCTGCCATGTCAAATTTCCAAAATCTCACCTGGTACTTCTCATGTTTGCCTCTCATTCATGTGCCTTGCTACAAGAAAAAGAACCACAAACAAAATTTCCTTTGAATATCCCACAATCAAGACTACAGAAACATGGCCAAACCACCTAGAATTAAACTTCAAGCTACCCACACAACAGTGGATCAAATGTTCGTAACTTAGGCTGATACAGAAGAGGAAGGCAATCATTAGAACAATAATCCACCCAAGGCAAATTTCCAAATATTTTACCAATATTTGTCCTGCTAGCTTGTCATTCATGTCCATTGATAAAAGAAGAGCACCACAAACAACATTTACTTGCTTTCAATATCCCTTAATCAAGACTGCAGAGTACAGACCCTGGCTGAACCACCCACAAGTACACCTCAAGCGAGCCACACAAAAAAGTGAACCAAATGTTTGTAACTTAGGCTGAAGCAGAAGAAGACGATTAATCAGAGCTCTGATCATCTCCTCTGCTATCATTTTCCACAGATCCCTCACTTTCACTTTCAATATCAGTCCAGGGAGTCTTGAAAACCAAAAGCTCTTTGCATCTTTCTTCAAGAGCTCCCTCCAATCTTACATTCCAACATCCCTGAATGTCAAGGTATGTAAGAGCCTTACACGCAGTAAGTATCGTGCAAAGGCCATGATCAGTCACGCGAGCAAATCCAAATTCGAGATGGTCAAGCCCTGCCATGGTGTTGGCTATCGCGAATGCCTCATCATCATCAGTCTCTGAAGCCGCAACTGCCCCAAGCTCCAGTGGTGGCATGTTCCTCTTCAAATGAGTCAAGAAATTGCAGTGTTTCCCAAATGCTTCAAGACTTTTGCTTGTGAGCTTCAGACAATAGCTGATATCCAGTTCTGTCAAGTTCACTAGTAATTCTGCATGCTTTTCTACTACTTGATCAGTTATCTCACTTACTGGAATTTTTAGGACCTTGAGACATCTTCCACTGCAACAATTACAGAATAGAGCATCATGTCATTGTGATTGATGATATATATGACCATAGTGAATGAATCTTCTTATTTCAACTAGCAATAGATGACAAAGTCTATTTTCAATTACAGTGTGCATTTTGTGTAAAGCATTGATTTACAGATACAAACACAAATCCTGAGCACAAATTGAATGTTTTAGTAGCATAAATTGAATTTCCAGCTCCAAATTAAACATGGATAGCTTTTATAGTACAGTTTTTTGAAGTACCAGAATTCCCAAGGCCACATTCGCCCTATTTAGATAATCCCCAAGCCAATTGGGCAATCAAGAATTACACAAAAAAATTGATACACATGTCACATGTGCAGATTATTCAAATCACTAGACAGAACCATGAATTATGTACAAAATTCTAAAGTAATTATTAATTTCAAAATAGAGGTAATAGTAGCCAGATCTAATCCATGAAGAAAAACTCACTAATGGACAATCTAATACTAGCATATTCTCAAGAACTAGATAGAAATGAATTCAGATCTCAAAGCCATTTTCCTTTTCAACTATAAAAATTTCCTTTTCTTTTTTCACTTTAAGCTTGAATTGTCACACTTGATCATAAACAAGCTATTAGAGAAGGCAAAATCAACTAGGTGCTATTTCAATAAAACAGGAAATATTATTGTTATCTCCAAAGAACAAAACAAAAACAACTTTTTTGCAAGGTAAAATTCCACAAAACAGAAACTTCAAAAAACCTTTCTGGCATTTTCAAAACCACTTCTAGACGGTATTGCAACTAAGAAATATTCAACAAAAATACATACTAAACAAACAAAGCAAAAAACAAAAAAAAAAAAAGAAACAAAACGTTTTGATAAGAAAAGTACACATACCAGTTGGCGATGTAAGAGAAACCGGCATTACCCAAGCGATAAGCACAGAACTTTCCGGCGGTAAACTTGCTCCGGCGAACAAGCTTCCTAACTACCGAGTCAATAAGGAGCCCACCACGGCGATTGCCGGCGTTGCAGCTGTTCCAGTGGCTGCGACACCAATGTTCCACGTCAATCTCATTCCAACAGTACGGCCCCACCACCGTCTCCAGCCACCCTCTGCAGACTAAGCTCACCGCCCTCACCATTTCTTCCACGGGGACTATTTTCGTGAATATCAAGGATAATATTTCTGGGATCATTGCATCCCAGCTCCGTGTTGGTACGATGTCGTTTTTGGGTTCAATGGTGCAGACCCTTTTGGTTTTGACCCTGCTTTCCATTTCTGTGTTGCAATGAAAACACGCACAACACACACTAGTAGTACGTTGTTAGCATTAAGGAGGTAGTTTTATGGGGTTTTGTTGGTTTTTGTTGTTTTTCAGTTTTAGGAAGGTGAAGGGTAGGAGAGAGAAAGGCGAGAGGGGTTTAGATGGTGACACGTGGAATCCTGAGGTATGATGAGAAAGTTTAGGGTGTGTGTGCACAGACCTTTCTTTTCCCCCCCTTTCTTTTGGTGTTAATGCACTACCCTCGCCAGCCTTTGGAGCAATCTGCACTTCCTACCCTAATATTTGTTTGAGTAGTGTTATATATATTACCAATAAATGAAATGATTAATTTTTCCTACACTAACAGTATATATATCGTCAGCATTGGATAAATGACAATTATACAAAATTTGAATTTAAAATCTATCTTTTACATGCGTCATGAATCTGACGCATCTAATGGTGATAGTGTATACACTGTTCGTGTATATAAGATTTATTCTAAATGAAATGCATCACTAAAATTCGCTTTCTACTTGAATGGCTGATTCGAAATGCACTTGAGACCTTTGGTAATGATATGGCTGACTCGAAATGCCATCTAAATTATTACTTGATAATAAGACGTTTCCAATTAAGTTGCTGCAAAATTGCAATTGATTCAGTCATCAAATCTATCTCTAACTCTGTGCCACAACCGGCTCCTCTTCAGCACCAGTAAAAGCCCTTCTCCATTGATATATATACCTTCTAGATCACGAAGCCAATCAATGAATAATTTCGAAGCCAAATGTCAAACACAAATAGAAATGCCCAAAAACAATTTTAACATCTAAAATAAAAAAAATTAATCATAAATTGTCTACTAAGGTTTGAGTATCTCGATCTTTTTTTTTTCCCCTATGATTGTAACTTCATTTGCAATGTTTTCATTAAATCTTTTCCAAGATTTGATGGAAAGAAGGATAAGGCAAAGGGAAAAGGGGATTAAGAAATGGGAGAGTTTGGAAAAGGGAGGAGAAAAAAAATTAGAGGTTTAAGAGTATTGTAGATTCCTGGTAATCTGATTGTTGAAGGAGGGCACTACAGGTTTTATTTATTTATTTTTTTTTTTTGTGGAAAACTTTTGCTTCTACACATCAGAAAGTTTAGTAACTGTGATATCATCCCACTTTTAAAAGCGTTCATAGTCAAATTATGATCAACGATTGAAGGAGTCAAGATGAAATAGGGTCAAATAGCTCTACCATGCACGTCATGGACATTTGAAACCCCACCTTGGCTGCTAAATTACATGACCGCCCCTGAATTGCCAAATTATGATCAACAGTGACAGTCACAACTTCACAACATTGGATCCTTACATTTCAAACGTAAGATCCATTTCCAGCCTCCTAAATTTTTGGTGACTAATAGTTTGTTGGGAAAAAGAAATTACTCCACACAAGATCATTATTTATTTACGCCAAATCTAGCTATGATGAAAAAACCTACCTTTTTGCCACTTTTCTGACTAGAATGTCAATCATATTATGTATTCATACACTTTTCATTGGACAACCAAACTGGAAACGGTGTTTGGTTCTAAAAGAGTGAATGGTCGAAATGGTCACTTAACTATTTAAAATGGCACCCTTTGGTCATCAAACTTTTTTTGTAGCAAAAAAAGTCACTAAACTCACGTAAACGCACCAGCAAAGTCATTTTACCGAATTTTAGCGGTGAATCATCCGGTTACAAGGGTCTTGAGTTGAATAAATATTCTGATATGGACAAAAATGTCCAAAAAATTATTGGGGCAAGTGAACTCACAGATTGTTTCATTCTCAAAGTTGACCAATCGATCGACATTCACTTCATCTTCTCCGGTGAAGTTTACTAGTTGGGAACACTTCACTTTTCAATTTGACCCAGCGTAGAAGTTTACTGGTTGTGACCGAGATTCACTCTCCTCTCTGTCTCGTCACTTCCGACCTCCCTACTATCCCTATCCGCCCCACCACTAACCCCGACCCAACATCCAACTCCGACGACGATGACCCTTTGAGCCCATAGGTTTCATCACTGCTTTCTCAAATTGGTCTCTCGAGCCATACCCATTATTTGCTCAGTCTTCGATTTCCTTCGCCAGCCACCTAGCTGAGTTGGAAAGAGTCTTGGCAGTTCCAATGACTACACCCAGCCAAAAAAAAAAAAATGTTTACCCAGAAAAATGTTTTTTTCTTTTACAGAAAAAGAAAAGAACAGAATGATACTTTTTTTTTGTATTTCCGCAGCCGTGTGCTCCCATCCGTCACCAGTGGGTTGCCGAGGGCAGCCGTTGAAGGGAGTGCTGTGCTATCCCATTCTTCGAGAAAAGAAAAGGAATAAAGCCTTCTGCTAGTCAGCGAGCCAGTTACACGGCATACGGGTTTTCTTCTTTTATTTGTGTTGATCTGAGCACCGCCCTAGCGAACTATTGGGCTGAGGCACCCAGCCCAGACAACTTTGGAGTATAGCCTGAGTCACTTCCAATAGCTTCAGTCAAGCTCTTAAAATACGAGAAATCTCAATTTGATTTCAAAGCAGCAGATTTTACTGATTCACTTCCTGTCCTCATCCCCATCCCCCTCTCTTCATGCTCAACGATAATACTCTTAAATTATTGCCACCACCTTTAATCATTCCCTGTTTCTCATTTTAAATTACAGTCTCTATTTTTACCGCCGGAGAAGACGAAGTCAATATATGGGTTCAAAAGTGGTTTGGGAATGAGACAATCTATGGCTTCACCTATTTCAATAACCTTTCAGACATTTTTGCCCCTTGACTATATTCCTCCATTCCACGTTACCCATGCCACCGGATGAGAAACCGCTGAAATTCGGTAAAATGGCTCCGCTGGAGAGTTTTTGCGAGTTTAGTGACCTTTTCGGCCACAAAAAAAGTTTGGTGATTAAAGGGTGCCATTTTTAATAGTTTAGTGATCTTTTGGGCCATTCACTCGTTCTAAAATGCAATGTTTAAAATGTGAAAGGCTAATTGTCTTATTGTGAAGGTGAGTGGCTTAATTATCAAAAAGTAAAGATGTTAATGGTTGATTATGCTATATGGTTAGTAGTTCCATTGAATTTCGGGAAGGGAGCTATCTAATTGTTAAAATTTGCCCAATAATTGGCTCATGACTTCAGCTATTTAGTATTATTTTCAATTTTAGACTCGACAGTTATTAGCGTAGCACAATTTGAATCTATTCCAAAAGGAGAAAAAAAGTAGGAAATAAATTTTCCTTAGTTCAATTTAGCTTGTCAAATTTTATTTTGTTTTATTTTCATAGTTGCACTAGTAACTGCTAGAAGATATATCTCCTTAAGGGCATGCCATCTGAAAAAAAAAATGTGGTTTAGTACTAAAAATAGGCTAAAGCACTTCAATGACATAGTTGCAAACCATTGTTATACATGCTCATATTTTCAAGGAACTATATAAGTTAACTTTTACTATTTTCTTCTCTTGAAGAGGTAAGCACGGGAGTTAAAAGTTCTTTAGTGAATTTTATTTTTTCAAAAAAAAATGATTGGATATGAAGCTAGGACAATCATAAATGGTACATGTTTGAAATGTTAATGCCTAAGTTGATGCAATCTGAATATTGGTGGCTAAGATCACAACTTATGAATTTGTTAGGACTACTTTGGCAATTATCTGGTTCTTGAATGTTGACCATGCAGTACAGTACACGTAAGAGTATTTTAGCTAATTTTGATAACGTTGGGAATGTTTAATTAGCATGACCCCTGAATTGCCATATGGTCCTTTCTACAAATTTTGTTGAAATTTTGACATGGGGAAAATGGATGTCAGTTGAGACTGTCACTGTTGATTTTAGTTTTATCACTTTGGCCTGCAGGAGATTAGTAAATTTTATTCATTAGAGAGAAAATCAAAAGAAAATGTCTTTTAAGCTTGACCAAAGTAATAAAATGTTGTTAGTAAAATATATAGTGCAGCAACTGCAAAAATCATTTCAAATTGGAAATCACACTTCACCAATCTTTATTTGCCACTAGTATGGAACAAAAAGCATGGATAGTCGAGGAAGAAAAAAGTATGAGATGAAGGGTTTTAGATTACAGTGTTCAGAAAAAATGGCAGCCTTGTCAAATTAATTTAGTTTTGAAGACAGACTAATAAATTTTCAGTCATTTCAGTATGAGTTGGCCAAGAGTGAACTATTCACCTCTCCTCCAGTTTGATTCTTTGGCAGCTAATCAGTGGCCACCTCCAGCATCTTGTATTGTCCTGTGCCCATATGGTAATGTTAATTTTCATTGCAAGACTATTTATTGTTTTTTTCTTGGTTATACATTTCAAGAGGTCTATTATCTATATAGAAAACATGTTAAAATAAATGTTAAACGTATTCATTTTGTAGTTGAGAACTCTGTTGATATGTTTATCGGGTTTATTCTTTAATCTCTAAACTTTGAAATGGAACACTTTACTCCATAGAATATAAAAATTGTCTCGCTTAAGTAAAATCATTGATCGAGGTGGGACAAATTCATACTTATGCATGACAAATTTTATATTTTAGAGATTAAAGTGAAATAGATTTTATACTTTTGGAACCTATGTGAAATAAATTTTATATTTTAAAGAATAAAGGGAAATAGACTTTATACTTTGAAGACTAAAGTATCTCACTCTCCAATTTAGAACCAAAGCAAGAATTCAAGGACATTCAAGTGAAATTAACCCAATCTTTATAGCCCAATTTCGTGTTTATAGAGTATATTGCTATTCATATAGAGTATATTGCTATTCATTTGGTGAAATTCCTAATCCATAAGCACAATTTTCTTTGAAGCCCATCAAAGATCTAGAATTGTTCAGATTCCAAATAATGGGCTGACAATTTCTTGATGTTGTAGCCCAGTAAGGACGTGGCAATAGGAAACTACGTGCCCAAGCATTGAGAATTTACTTTGCCCATCACACATGCCAGAAAGGTTTTAGGGGAAAGAGGCCCTAAAAACAACCAAGATGAAAATATTCATTCTTGTGTT